GCAGGACATGTACATACCAGGTTCTATGTTCTTGTCTGACCATTTTAAGGTTAGAACACATGGAAGAGAGCCTCCTCGTACTGCAGTATTTCACAAATTTCCATATCAAAATGCAGTGAGTGATCTACAAAGGCAGGTGTATAAAATGTTTGCATGGAGGCATATCCTCAGCAACAAAATCTTTGGCTTTTGAAGCCCAAGGAACTCTGTTTTTGCATGATCATTGCACCAAATTTGATGAAGTGGTTGGGGGGGAGGTGTGATGGCTTTGTGTTTTTCAGTCTTAAATTTTAGAGCTCTTTAGGAGCCTGCTGGAACTTGTTCCTAATGGAGGTTGTCCTCCTTCCTTCTCTAATACTTTAACTGACAGTTACTTTTTTTTTAAACATACATAAACACCTGAATATGAGCAACTGGCAGACGAAGATGGACACAACCTACCTGGACATAGAAAAACTTTTCTGTTGCTCTTGTAAGAGACGACGTCAAAAATATGACTGGTGCTGTTCCTTTGCTTTCCATGGGAAATGCTGACCTTGTTCTTCACAGAAACTGTGGGTTCTTTTATTTTTAAAACTGGTAGTCTGGGCACGTCTGTGCTGACCCCAGACTGTAATCCAGTGTGCCATAGCAGATCCTGGCTTGCCTGCTCCATGTGCATGGCTGCCCCATGAAGTGGTTATGAAGTGGCCCTAGGGCCTATGCCAGTACGCTTGCTTGAGATGGCTCTATTACATCTTTGTCAGGGTGCAGCATAAGTAAGGCTCCTTGGGGAACAAAGAAAGCAATATAATCTGCTGCAAAGTAATAGCAAAGCACCCAGTTTTCAGATAATTCAAGAAGTTTCTGCTGAGGTATGTCTAGAATTGGACATTCTGCAAAGACATGTTTCCTCTTATGTCAGTATTGCCATATGCCAAATAGTAGCTTGTCCTTTGCATCTCAGAACACTGGAGCCAGAATTGGTCTTGTTTAGGCCAGGAGAAGTCCCAATGGAGCTTATCAGGTCTATAAAGGTATATACAGGTCAAACAAGTCCTGTGTTGTTTTTTTTCCAGGAGAGCAGCTTCCTTATAAACTACTTCAAGTGTCATGGGTAGAAAACCAAAATGAAATTGAAAACCTTGACACGAAGCTTTCTCCAAAGCACAGAGCTCAGGATGGCCCAATCAGCAATTAAGTTTTGTTCTTGAAAACATACCCTACTGGGAAGAAATTAATATAATTATTCCCAGCGAAGACGAGCAGCATGCACAGGAAATGCAGTAAAGTTGTGGCTGTGACAGAGCTAAATGAAGTGCCTAACAGGGCCTGCAGCCTTCCAAGTTTACAGCTCTATATGGACATCTACTCTAGCCAGCATTGTCATCAGTTTTCACTTTGGGGCCCCAGACTTTGGGGCAGTTTGGGGCCAGAGCTCTGCTGATTTCCTTGACACATACCAGCCATGAAACCTCTGTATTTAACAGTAATCGCATCTACATCCAGGAATCTTGCAGAAAAGCAGATGATTGACAAAACAGAAAAACAGCACTGTGGTCTACTGGCCAGTAATTGTAGCAGGTTTCCAACAACAGAGCTTCTAATGAGCATCCCAGTCACAGGACAATTTTACGAAGTCTTATTTGTGATTCACTGAGGCAAAGGGTTTCTCCATCTTTAAGCCTCATTCATCTTGTTTCCAGATCTGTCTCAAGCCTGTAATCACAGTGGTGTTTCTAAACACTCTTGTTTCCTAAAAGCATATCTTGTAGAGACTTTATCTCTTTTTAATGTGCAGATGAATATCCCCAGCTCTCCACCAGCCCAAAGCACTATCATGGGCTAATGCCCATTCATAAGAAATCTGATGCAGTTTATTGTTTTCTGCTGTATAACACATTTGAAGTTCTGGATTTTTTTTAAATCAAAATACCCGGCAACCCCCTGCTTAGCGCTTTTCATTGGTTCTGGAAAAACCAAGCGCTAAGCGAAACAGCGTTAAGCGAAACCCATTTTTCCAGAGGGTTTCATGTAAATAAATATAATTGGTTCTACACCACCTGCCGGCCCTGGCCCTGCGTTCCTACCATGTTTCTGCCACCATGGGCCCTGAGCACCAGCCTGGGCCCTGTGCTCACGCCCTCTGCCCCCCCCTTCTCACCACCTCTGGCACTCCTCCCTGCCTACCAGCTGCTCCAGTACCACATGCTGGAGTGGGCCCCGGGCTCCTGCCACCCCGTCCTGGACCCTGTTGTCTCAGGCTTCATGCTTACGCTGCCCAGCCCCCCCACCTGCCCCTTCTCACTGCCACTCCTCCCCACCTGCTCCAGCACCATGTGCCAGAGCAGACCCCAGGCTGCTGCTGGCTGCCACTCTCCGATTCACTTGATGACGACGCCACCACCGCTGCCGCCACTGCTTCTCCCCACCCACCGTGCTGAGCATTATAACAAAATGCTCTGCGTGCTAAGTGAAACCAAGTAGGTATTTTAAATGAGTGTTATAGTGAAACTGCAGTAAGCAAAACCGCATTAAGCAGGGGTTGCCTGTAGGTTTCTTGTCATTATAGTGATGCATGCTGAAGCCTTGTCTCTTAATGTTGATATGAACACTTCCACATCCAATAAAAATGGTTTCACCTTTTTCCTCGCTCTCATTTTCATGGCTGCTTATGACCTAACCAAGGCATCACCATTATATTCACTTGTGTGGTTCCTATAAAAGACTTAAAACCAGCTTGAGTGCACTGTTACCCTTCAAAGGGAAATAGCCTCTTTAATATAGAGCTTTGTAGACTTGCTCTAGAACATAATGCCTTAGGGCACCTATACACGCCAGACATCTCGTATTCAGGGTCCCCACGCTTCAAAATGTCGTCGGGGTGCTTTAACTAAAGCTGGTCAAAAGAGCTGTAAAGCACCTCTGCCACCATTTTGAAGCACAGGATACTGAATACACGTGATGCTCCGGGCGTTTTAATTAGAACAGCTCTCAGATTAATTAAATCTGAGGACCCAGAGGGTAGTAATTGATGGAAGTCATTCGTCGTGGTGTCCTGTGACCAGTGGGGTCCCCCAAGGCTCTGTCCTTGGACCCATACTGTTCAACATCTTCATTAATGATGTGGACACTGGAGTCAGAAGCGGACTGGCCAAGTTCGCCGATGACACCAAACTTTGGAGCAAAGCATCCACACCAGAAGACAGGCGGGTGATCCAGGCTGACCTGGACAGGCTCAGCAAGTGGGCGGACGAGAATCTGATGGTGTTCAACGCCGATAAATGCAAGGTTCTCCACCTTGGGGAAAAAAACCCACAGCATCCTTATAGGCTCGGCAGTGCTATGTTGGCTAGCACTATTCAAGCAAATCCTGGGGTGTCATTCTCCCCTTGTACTCGGCCTTAGTGAGGCCGCAGCTGGAGTACTGCGTCCAGTTTTGGGCTCCACAATTCAAAAAGGATGTGGAGAAGCTTGAGAGAGTCCAGAGAAGAGCCACGCGCATGATCAGAGGTCAGGGAAGCAGACCCTACGATGACAGGCTGAGAGCCATGGGGCTCTTTAGCCTGAAAAAGCGCAGGCTCAGGGGTGATCTGATGGCCACCGACAAGTTTATCAGGGGTGACCACCAGTATCTGGGGGAACACTTGTTCACCAGAGCGCCCCAAGGGATGACGAGGTCGAATGGTCACAAACTACTTCAAGATCGTTTCAGGCTGGACATAAGGAAGAATTTTTTTACTGTCCGAGCCCCCAAGGTCTGGAACAGCCTGCCACCGGAGGTGGTTCAAGCGCCTTCATTGAACACCTTCAAGATGAAACTGGATGCTTATCTTGCTGGGATCCTATGATCCCAGCTGACTTCCTGCCCTTTGGGCGGGGGGCTGGACTCGATGATCTTCCGAGGTCCCTTCCAGCCCTGATGTCTATGAAATGCAACCTGCCCCTCCGCCCCACCCAGCAGCACATGTAAAGATGCCCTTAGTCACCAAAATCTGAAGTGCAGTACCATTCCCATCAGGCAGGCAAAGATACTGCTAACTATGAGCCCATTTTAAAGGAGCCCAGTAATAATTCAAGGCCTGAGCTAAAGCTCGGGGAATATTTTTCCAAGTACCCCATTTATTTTAGTGAACTTTGGATCAGGTCCCAAGTGTTTTGGTCATGGTCTTGACCCCCTAGCTTGGTCTGTCTTTTTAATTGGACTACTTAACTGCATCATGATCTTTTGTACTGGTCACAAAAGCCCTTGTTCAGCAATTTTATTTATTTTTAACATCCCTGATATATAGGACCTCTGTCCCAACCTCAGTACAGACCACATAATCAGTGTTATTCAGTCTGATGATTATAACATCCAAGGTTCACTCACTTGCAACTCCACCAATGTCGTATGTGCCATCACTTGTTTACAGTACCCCACTCCGGTCTGCACTGGAGACTGGGCAGTCTCTCTGTGACAGTCTCTTCCTGGACAGTCCCTGACCTAAAGGTGGCTGTTCTCAGACAGCAAACTTTTAAAAACTGATTTGAATGGGAAATTGCAGAACAAGAAATCGTCTATGGACTGGATTGTTTGTTTCAAAAGGGGCCATCAAATTCTTATCCCATTACCAGGGTCAGCTTTGACTCCTTTGTTCCTATGGATTTACTTGCTTGCCTCTCCCAGCATTACGTCCTTTCTCTCCCGCATGCTCTCTCTGATGAAATGTGCTTCAGCTCACAAAATCTTGTGCTACGCTAAATAGATATATCTACTTTAGTTAGTCTATAAGGTGCAAATCTACCCTGCCTTCCAAACCTGACTCCCAGGGAAATGGAAGAAAGGAATCCCATTGATCCTAATGTGTTTAGTGTGACTGGTAGTCAGGACCTGAACTAGCTCTGTAGGTAGGGGAACAGGCAATGTGAATGTCTTTGCCAGCAAACGAACTCTTAATTATCAAACACTTGAACAATTTGTAACGCTTTCTCAATTCTTTTTCTGACAATAAAAAGTCAAGTATATTTAATATATAAAACATTTTTTATTAAAATAAATGTACAACACAATATATACAAAACTATATACAGGAATAAGGTTCAATTACTATTTAGTGATCTGATAGATTTTTTTTCAGATATGCCTAAACTAAAGCCCTCTTTCAATTCTGGAGTTTGCACTGTTCTGCATAGGCTCATGCCATTGGTTTTCTTTAAGAGCTGCTTCACAGTTCAGTGTGTCTTCTGTTGTAGGTATTCTTTTACCATTTAGAGCACTGCAGTGGCTCTCAAGAAGGCACTATATAAATAAATTAGCATGGCCATCAGTGGAGGGGGAAAATCCCACGCTGTGGCAGCTTTTTGACAGCAAGTATGTGAAAAAATGGATATATGCCATACATAATGATAATAGGATAAGGTCCTATGAGTAGATCTTTTGAACAACTAATACATGGAAGCAAAGCCTATGTCAGACTTATTTTTTGTTAACTTTTTTTTGACTAAACGTATTTACAGAAATGAAGATTTGCGTTTGGAGATGAACTCTATATGCTGGAATAATCGAAGAGAGGGCCAATTAGTGCAATTTTTTTTAAATCAGAATATGCAACGATTGTAATTAAGCTCATAACTTCCCAGGTATCATCTGGGTAAGCAGCAACCAAAACTAGTAGGGGGCTGGAGGGCTGAGAGTCTCTGAAGCACTGCTTCTGTAAAAGCTGTAATCTTCGCCAAAAGCAGTGCTTTCAAGGTCTAGCATGAAAAACACAGAAAACAAACAAGGACTATATAAATCTTAGCCCTACTTCTCGTGATACACAGCACCTTTCACCTTCACCCCCCAGAAAAGGTGGAACCTCCTTTCACATTACGGTATGAACAACTTCACATTGGAAGCAATTATAAATGTCTATGCCTATGGCTTAGTTAATCACTTCAATGTGAAGAGTTCTAACAAGGTGGGATATATCTGTGATCATGGAGCTTTCCTTCTTAACGGCCTTTGAATCAGAGAAGTTAAACGGATAGTAAATCTTTTTCCTCCTCCAGACTCAGTAACAAACAACTCCTTCCACTCTGTTAGGGCTTGCAGAAGTAAACGTTTGTGGTTCAAAGAAAGAACATGGTTTAGAAGTTGCAAGGAATGGCTTGCATATTCGAAGATCTTACTGTCTCCAGCCAAGAGAACTCTAGACTGCTGCTTTTCATATCAGTGCAAAGTCTCAGCTCGATTTCTTCTGGGGGGGAAGATCAGAAAAGAAAAGTAAATAATTGTATGCAGTAGGAGCAAAACAATGTGCTCTAATACTATGGTAATTACTAATAATACTTCAAGCAAATGTAAAACTCCTTAAATGAAACCTGAATACATTTTGAGAGCTGCAAGCTTTTTTATCTAGAAATACTTTAAATAAACTATAAAACTTGTTACAACTTTCTGTTTTTAAACCATTCTCTTAGGTAACATGACTAAGTAATTTGCACTAGTCCCTGGAAGCAGTAAAAAGTAAGCTGATACGCCAAAATACAGATCGAGTTAAGCACCAATTTCTGGGCGGAGTATCCCACCCAGAACGCTGTCTGTATACGAAAATAACCGTTAAACAAATCTGTGGTAATCTAGTACAGTCTCTGTTTTAAATCCCAATAAACATCTTTAGTTCTGTACTAACATCCTAGCTGCAGACTTTGGAGCAGTTCACTGTTATGGCATCCTACTCATTTTGTTTCACTCCAATTAATCCTCCTTGCACACAGAGCTTCTTTCTCTGCTGCTTTCTCTGTCCCTGGCTGCATTCGGAGTTACTTTCCTCCAGACATTCAAGAATTTGTACCTGAGGTGGTATCAATTTCAGCATCCTGCTCCTTGTACATGTAACTGCACGGGCTTTGTGTGCCAGGCTCATTGGTAAGATAGCCTTTCCCGCCAATGCTGGTTGTATGCCAGTCTTGTTCAAGCAGCTGTAAGAAACAAAGGAGATGAGGGGTAAGGCCTGAAACTTCCTGCTTTTTCTTAAGGGGGTGGGAGAGAAGAATGTGCTAGACTTAAATGTTCAAACTTCCTTGAACAAAACTGCTCAGTAGCTATAATACTGCCCATACCGGATTTATGAGACTACTTGGCATTGCAGTTAAGTCTAGGGGCAGGTTTCATTGTGTCCTATGCAAGATCCAAGACTCAGCTGGCTAGCTGACAGCCGCGCTGCTATTGTCAGCTTCCATTCAGGTGGCCTAATACTGGAAGAGCAAGTTACTGCAGGCCTAAACTAAGGAGCATGGTTTGGGAAATGTTCACAAAACTTGCCTATACTATACCCATTCCCTGTAGCCCTTGCTTCTAGGAACACCAAAGAGAAGGAAGCAAATTTTTGCATCTTCTTGCTACATCTGTGAGACTCCTGTTATGCTAACAGATAAAACTTAATTTAATGCAGAGCACACCACAGTCAGAAGACTCCTGTAAGGAAAGGGCCTATCTCCTAATAGTGGTGAATGTGACACATGCCTAGATGCATAGCAAGGTAGGAGAGGCACATCTGTTCCCAAAGCTAGGGATATTCCTTCCAGGGGTGTAAATGTCTCATCAGTCTGACACTTCACTTAACTACTGAATCTCTCTGGGAGACGGAGAGTGACAGAAAACCAAATATTTCCATAGGTGTGTTCCAAGTCATGTCTGCAAAAAGTCCTTTCTTTCTCAATTTTATTTCTCTCTCCTGAAAGCCCCCTGATGCAACTATAGTAACTGTTTGCTTGGGTTAACCCAGAATATCACTATGCCAAATGTTATTTCTTTCTTCCTGGATGCCAATATCAACTTGCTCAATGTTTCTTCTGAAAAAAAGAGAGATTCTTACCTTTAAAAGGTCTGACTTTATTTCCTCTTGATCTTCATCTGTCACTGTTGTTTTATGAATGCATGAAAAAAAGAAAAAGCATGTTGCTTTTAGTACTGTGTTCTCACTGGCATAAAACACTCTTATATTTCATTACTACCACAGTCAAGTTTGCATTCTGGTTAGGGCGATTTAGGATTACACGTTTCTGCCACCCCTGTGGGTGTAGGCTCTGAAGAGCATTTGCACTGGAAAAGCCCACATGTCTCTTCCTGTGTAACTCTTTTCAGTAACACGAAGTTTATCTTTTTGAGACGAGTCATTTCTCAGAATCTGTTTCTTTGATCCACAAATGAATGGTGGCATCACTCCTAAACTATACTTGTCCTCGCTCTTGAACACAATTTACGAGAGCATATGCACTCAAGTGACAGCTGCAGACTGCTGTGCACCTGCTCTGCACCCAGCCAGGAGGCTGGGGGAAATATCTTATCCTTACAGGCCCTGATGCAAAAGCCGCTCCTTTTGGCTTTGTATATATGATCAGGGAGGACATCTGCACCTTAAATGACACATTGTTCTAACAGATGCAGAAGTGCCCATCTCCTATTTTATGCAAGTTTGCCAAATGCAATGCCTTCTGGATTCTACTTCCTGACTCTGTGATGTGCATCTTGTTTAAACTAATACTAAACTACAGATAAGCACATAATGGATCATATTTCTACTTGGTAGATAGTGAACCGATGCAGGGGACTAGTTTTGCTTGCTTAGCATTGCCAAGTTGGAAGACCGGAGTTTGATGGTCTAAGGCACCCTGTCCTTAACACAAGCTAGGAGATGCTTTACAAATAGGAAATACCCCCCAGTTCCTCTCTACATACTAAGTACTGTGATGCCTCAAAATCAGAAATCTTCCCCCTTACTTTACTTGGCTACCATTACATACTATGAAGAGTGGATTACCCTAGTATATCCCATTATGAGTCTGAGCTGGGGTCAGGTTACACCGCTAAAGAGAGTTTACTGGATCCAAACCCTGAGTTTTCCTACAAGTACAAGTCCCGTGGACTTCTCTAGGAGTCATACACACTTAAGAGCTGCAATCTAGGGCCACTCAATCATTTGAAGTGTTTTAATGGATCCCATTAATCCTGAAAATCCAGACAGCCCTTGTCATTTGTACAACAGAGCTGTTTTGTTCGGTTTTTTATCATCTCTTTCTGGCACCTCCAGTGTTTTCTGAAAATACCAACCTTCAGAAGATGAAGCTAGAGGTGACACTTGAAGCTGGTAGATGTCATTTGTGCTGTCAGCCAGTGCTATTTCCATTGGGGTTCTCCATTCGGTCACTGCAGTGTGTATATCACATGGTGAGAGATCTGTGAAACGTGCAGAAAGGATGAGTTAGATTCTGGGAGACGATAAGGCTTTGTTCAATCCCTTGCTAACTACATTTCAAATGACCTGTTATGGATCAGCCCAGGACAAGGTAGCTGTTACTACTTTTCTTTTGAAGCTGATCTTGTGTGCTGGGGTTTGGCAAGAAAAGCACCTTTTGTTAAGTTCAAAGAACTAAAACTGAGTCTCACCGAGGGTGACAGATGTGCTTTCAACCTTCACTTCCTGTCCTGCATAGTCTTGAACTGTGTAACTGCTGTGGTCATCTGGTATCATTGTGCTGTTTAGTGCTTCTACTGCTTCATCTGACCTCATGTCCTCATATGGCTAGAAAGATAAGAGCACAGAATAAAATATCTCTTTTTGCAAAAAACATACTCACAAATATTTGCAAGGGAGGGGAGGAATTCAGAAAGTGCCTCTGATTTGCTTAAACTGCCACGTACCTTTCTCCTGCTCTTGTTTCTTGAGTCTCTAGATGATTTTGACTTCCTTTCTGTTCAAACAGGAATAAAGGAAAAGTGAGAAACGCCCTGCAGCCGATTTGCATATTTTGATTTACATGAGCATAATCCCCATGTGAAAAATGGGGTGCAGTGGTGCTGAGCATTGACAGACATGATCCTGCTCTGGGAATGGCTGTCAAATGTCTGTCCCTAACCCCAACCCCTCCCAGCTGTTTTGCAAAAATTGAGTGTTTGAAAACTCTTAAGAATTTGGGATTGAAAGGAGATAAACATACAAAGTATCATTACTTGTAGTTACAATGACTGCACAAAAGTGTGGTGTTACTTTCAAAATATTTATATAACGCCACTGGCAAGCAGAACAGGAAATGCTAAACATCATGTTGACTGCAATAATATCTCCTACATTGCAAGCATGCTGCTATGTTCGTACCTTTTTTCTGTAGCTTTGTTAAAGGTGGTAACATTCGGTAAACCCGGACTGCACTGGAGCCTTTATTGATGCTTTTATCCTTCACTTCTTCGATATCAGGCAATGAATTCATGGCACAGCGGAAATTTGCCTTCCATGTTTTAGGGTCCGGTTCTTTCTCCCCTATCTTGTATCTCCCTATAAATAAGAGATGGTGTAAAATTCAGACCTTCAGAGTGCTCTGCAGTGTTTAATACTTTCCCGCAAAATAGATGGCTTTCCTTCCATTTCTGGTTGCACTGAACAGACAAAATAATTACATGAGATTCAAGTCAGGGCAGAATTAGGCCCCATGTATCTAAATGATGGAGAGTGCCTAAACACCAGCACGTACCAGTGTGAACGGCCCAACTTCGGAAAAGGCAGGCATCTTTTTCCATGTCCCAGCCATGCTTAGCTGCATGTTTCCATGGGATCTGGAACATCATCTTATCCTGTAGTTAAACAATATACTGTTAAATACAGGAAACAGATACACCCACTTGTGATTCAAAATAAACTTAAAGACAATTTGTCAAAAGCAAGGGAACTAAATCAAGGCTGCCATTAGATCTGAATTTAACATCTACCCACTTCCATAATTTACTAGAGACTATAAAGGTTGTTTTTCCTCTCGCCCCCCTCCCTCCAAGAGTCATGTGGCTTTCCACATCTCTGAACCAGATGACTCAGTCTTATCTCAGAAAGACTTTGAGGTCCCCCGTGTCGCCCCCACCCGCCCATCCTTAAGGATATGCATACATCACAAGGAAAACTCTTTGTTAAAGTGTAACATTCATTGAAAATGGAGACTTCCTTTTTCAGGTGTATTCAAGGCGCCTTGTAGTTGAAAACACTCAGAGGATTAGATATGTCCTGAATTGGTAAGGAAGAGCCTAAACACTTGGCCAACTTGGATCTCTTCCAACACCTTCTGCTTGTATCTGAATGGCACTGTTGTCTGAATGCACTTAAATCATCACTCTAGTAATTTACTCAAATAAAACTACAGTCAGGAAACTGGATGACCTGACTCCAGCACTGGGATAGCAAGCCGCTGTACATGTGCAAGGGTTTTGCAGTTGGTTCTCACCAAGTGTTGACTTTAATTGAAAACAAGCTCAACACCACCTAAGATTGGGTTTTATGGTCCCATTAAATGGTTAGGATCTAACCCAGATGACTTAAGCAAGTACAAGAGGACTTGGCCTAAGCACAAGTCATAGTTACAGGCTCATCTGAAGTGTCCCTGGCTCCCAAACTGCCCTTGCCTCTTTCTCCACCCCCAAACCAGGGATTCCTTAGACAACGTTGGGTCAATGATCAAGTGATTGACAGCTACTTCTTTTCTGAAAACAAAAATGTTGTCTTGCATAGTGTGGGTAGATTCTCTCTATTTCCTTCTGATCTAGGTATGTGACCTGGATTTGCATTTACTATCAGATAAGAGCAGAGGGCCTGTTGAGTATGACTGATAGCTACAGAAGTAATGACAGAGTCCGCACCTTATTGATCCAGGTCAGTCCTGGTATTTGATTGGAATTGATCTGCATTTCCAACCAAGGCCTCATGCGCATTCTTGTCACTGGCATTTTGTCTGTGAAAGGAAAATAACATCAGCAAAAAGGTAAATGTTCTGCCTTCTACGCTTTTTAGCAATGCAACCCTGCCATGCTTACTACTGTCCTTAAGGGTCAGCAAAAACCAAGTTGGCCAACTCTCTTCCAGCACCGTCTGCCTGTATCTGAATGGCACTGTTGTCTGAATCCACTTAAATCATCACTCTAGTAATTTACTTAAATAAAGCTGTGCCGTCAGGAAACTGGATGACCTGAGACACCAGCACTGGGATAGCAAGCCGCTTCCCTGTTTTGGGACACTTGCCCAGTTCTGTTGCAAGAGGGAACTTTTATCTTCTGATGCTGTTTGGCGGCTGACATGAAATGCATTTTTGGTCTTGAACCTTTACCCGGTGAACAGATACTCGGGTGTCAAACCAAGGGCACATCTAGTATATTCTTCCTGGCAATCCCAGTGGAAAATGCAAAAGAATCAAAGGTTTGTGGGCTCTGAACTCCTCCCTCTTCGTTCTCAAGGTAATTACTGCAGGTTGTGGGCAAGGCATGCTGGTAGGGCAGTGGAGGGAAGTCTAAACTGCCACTTCCTGTCAGACTTGCCATTAATCACAACAACAAAAGAGAGCAGGTTTTAGCGCTGTCAGGCTTTCAGGAGCACTGCGTGCGCAATATAGTATTTAAATAACTGTTAAAATGTATTTAACTGGGTCAGGGAGAGGACCGGGGCAGGACATTGCTCTCTAAACTGATTCGTAGTCTACCAAAAAAAAAAAAAATGTCCTGGGGCGTGTCCAGTTCTTGTTTAGTGCTAACGAGCTTCCCTTCAAGGAAGTGCAACATGTTTGCTAGAAACTTGTACACTTTGCTGCGAGCTTCTCCTTCTAGCACTAGCTCTTGCCATGGATATAGTTATTCTAATAATTTCAAAACGGGAACTCCAGCTTTCAGAGGTATCCAAACAGTCATTTTTTTTTCCCCTGAGCAGGCTGGCAGAGGAGGCAGAGTTGCACAGTCCAGTTTCTGGCTTCCTTCCTAACCTGGGAGGAGACTAAATAAGAGGCTCTTCTCCAAGTGAACCTTCAGCTCTTTTACACTCCCTTTTTCTTCTGCTGAGCCCATTCCTGCCAGCCGGTTCTCCACGTGGAGAGCAATGTTTTGCTTTGGGGCCAGGAGAGGCAGTAACGTGAAGGGCTGCAAGGCTGGCAGCGTTTCAAGCACATCCCTGCTTGCTTTTCCCTTCAGAAAACAGCCTCTGCTCACAGCTCCTCCATCCACCACAGCGCCATCCTACATCGTACCAGGTGTTTTCTTGTTGTGTGTGCCTTGAGGATGCATGTCTTGTACTAGAAATACAGTGTGTGCATGTGTGTGTGTAAAAAAGTATATAGACTATATTAATATAATTATACTAGAAATAGAGAGCGTTAAAGTATATTGACTATTATATGTATATAATTCCACTAGAAAGTGTGTGTTATATAAATATAATAGTCTATATACTTTTAAACACACACACACTATTCTAGTAGAATTATATACATATAATAGTATAATAAATATAATATAATAGTACAATAATGATATACAAATAATAGTCTATATACTTTTAACACACACACATGCACTCTTGTAGTAGAATTATATAAATAGAATAGTCTGTATACTTTTAATTATACTAGAAGTGTGTGTAAAAAGTAGATAGACTGTGTTACACTATATTTCTAGTATAATTATATTATGTGCGTGTGTGTTCAAGTATCTGGACTCCTCTACTTCTGTAATCGGACGAGGCAAAGCCGGGTGCGGGGGGTGCAGGACGCTCCGCGCCGCCTGGCAGGGCTGGCCGGCAGCGGCACGGGCTCAGCCCCTCTCGCGCCCGGGGAAGCG